CAACACATTCAAATATCAGGTTCAGACCAACCTTATTTCCTCCAACTTCATACAATATAAGCATAGCCCTTTTTTTTTATTCAATCACACATTTTTTGTCTCTCTCTCTTTTATAAACTTGCAAAAAGAAGGAATTTATAGCATTTTATGATTTAAGAAGACTTTTAGAACTCCTCTTTGTTTTGAGGTATGGATATATGGAATTTTAAAACTTTTTTTTTTTCTTTTTTTCTTCCTTTTCTCTTTTTTTTTTCACAAGTCACTTATAAGGCTTAAACAAGTGTAATGCTCCTTCAAAAGAAACCTAGAAAAACGGCTTTATGGCTTTAAATGTAGGGTATCAAGAAAAGGGAAAACATGGCTCAAAGTGGCTCAACCTACGGGTGAATGCAAAAATAAAAATAAATTTATGCGGACCTAGAATGTTGAGGCTCTATTCTCTACAAGGGAAATTTCAATCACTTTTCCGCAACATGCATCATTCAAGTCTCAAATAGTCAAAGAGCAAAGCCAAGAATTCAATTACATGAAGGACAACTAATCACACATGAAAAAGTACGACTGAGTTAGAATGAAATCAGTCAAATATGGCTAAAAAATCTGACCAGGTACATAAACTATTCACATAAGTAGAGCGAGGAAACTATCCTATCCACAAACCTACTCAATTCTAAGCAAATTGGTAAATGGGTTTTCGAAAAAAAACTTTTCACACAGCACACATGTATGATCATTATCATAGAAGCATAACCATGTAATGGCATATCAAAGACACTAATAAGAAAGAAAAACTAACCAAACACTAAAAAAAAAAAAAAAAAAAAAAAAAAAAAAAAAAAAAAAAACTAATATATACATGCTGAAAAATGAAACCTCCCCCAAGCTAAACCATACATTGTCCTCAATGTTTGCATAAATCAGTGTAAAATGGACAAGGGGAGATGGAAACAGGTCTACTGATTGGGAGGGGAAAAATCATACCTTGGGGCGGTGATGACCTTTTTGTTTGCTTGTTTTCTAGACACTAACAAAACAGGAAAATAAAAACGTAAAAGGCAAAAAAATAAAAAATAAAATAAAATAAAAAGGAATGGGTTGCCTCCCATTTAGCGCTTGTTTAAGGTCTTAAGCTTGACCTTATTTATTAGCTCAACCTGGGTCACCACACAAAGAAGAAACTTCGCGATGTTGCCCATAAAAATATCCGCCTCCAAATGACTCCTTCATTTTATATTTGACATGCTTTGTATCCGAACTTACTTTCATGTAGCTAAACACATCATTCAGTGGAATATTGTCCTCGTTTCTCACAAGATTTCTATCACATACACACTTATCAATTCTTAAACAAGTACAATTATCAAATATAAAATTATGTTCATTAAAGAGCTTAAAAACTACTTGTTTATCCTGGGCCCTAATGGTCACTTGTCTTTTAGGAACATCTATTAGAGCTTTACTTGTTGCAAGGAATGGGCGACCAAATATAATCGGGATCTTATGGTCTTCTTTCATATCCATAACAACAAAATCAACAGGAAAAAACAAGTTCACCAACCTTAACTAATACATCCTCAACCATTTAAAGAGAAATAGGGGAAGGTTTAAGTTTTTGCAAACCTAATTTTTCATATAATGAATAAGGCATTAAATTTACACTAGCACCTAAATCACACAAGACCCTATCAAAAAATATTTCGTTTGTCATACAGGGAATAGTAAAACTACCAGGATCATGCAGCTTAGGTGGTAGACTATCACGTAAAAGAGTAGAGCATTTCTCATTTACTACTTCCTTAACATCATGTTGATCTTTAATTTCCTTCACAAATTTTGCAAATTGAGGCATTTGAATTAAAAGATCAGAAAAAGGAATGGAAGCATGTCACTAGACGAAAATCCTAATTTGGCACCGGTTCAAACCCCCCTAAATCACCGGTTTTGAACCGTTGGGGATTTGAGGGATGCCAAATCCTCAAACTTTTGGCACCGGTTCAAAACCGGTGCCAACTACCTTGATTTTGATTAAAAAAACTGGGGCCATTAGGTTGGCACCGGTTAACCGGTGCTAACTATAATGGCGCTAGTTTTTTTTTAATAATTTCAATGTAGTTGGCACCGGTTTTAAGCATGAACCGGTGCCTTTGACTTGTTTTTTTTTTTCCGGAAATAATATATATTAATATTAATACTAATACCTGCACATAATACGCATGAGATCCTGCACATAATACCGATAATTAATAATAATTATTATTATTATTATTATTATTATTATTATTATTATTATTAATTTTCTTAATAATAATAGTTATTATTATTATTAATTTTAATAATAATAATAAGTATTATTATTATAATATTAAAATTAATATTAATAATTATTATTAATATAATACTAATAATAATTAGTATTATTAATATATTAATAATAAGAATAATTGAAAATAATAACAAGGACATAAATATTGATAACAATCCCAAAATATGATATTAATTAGAAAATTGTGTCATAACTACAAACAAACAAAATTAATTAGTAATAATGTAGTACACTAAGCTTGTTAAAACAAAAATAAATGATATTTACAAATTAAATGTGATGTAGGCCGCCAACATGTCTCGAATTACATTGAGTTCCTCGCTCGTGAACAGATTTCCCGTTTGTCCCTTGCAAAACTTGGAATACATACATAAAACGTAAGTTAGTAGGAGTGAACTCATAAATTATCGTAACATGTCAATATCACTTAGTTATAGGTGGCCAAGGCTTGAAATTACAAGAAAAGAGCAATTAAGGCGTTTTGGAACGCAATTTCAACCAAACTGGCATACCTCTTCAAGATGTTGTGTGTCTTTACAATGACTCACTATGTCAAACATGAATCTCATCACGTATAGGCCACAATCGACTCCGTTATCTTGTTGTGTGCACTAGCATGAGGAACAAAGTACATGAATCAAACATCCATAGCAAATTAGCAACATCTTACGCATTGTATATTACAAAAATGTTAAGCTATATCATGTGGCATTACCATCGGTGATTTCCATGTAGGACCTCGAGGAGCTCGAGAATTTATCTTCTTCATAACACTGCATAGTAAAGTAAGTTCAAATTAGATTAGTATAATTAATATATATGTGTTAGGTTATGATAATCAATAACAAGAATTGAAGCTACGTATATTTACTTTTGCAGTATGGACTTCACGAGGCGCTTTCATGTGAGGTAACCGAGCAGAATCAAAGAAGAAGATTGTGTTACTGAAAACACAAATCACCAGTAGGGTCCAATGATAACTACGTACATACATTCACACGAGACAAACAAATCAATAATTAGGCAAGTACAACATATAAACTGGGAAAACAAATGTATTCGACAAGCATAATCTGACGTACTCCTCATAATATGGGGCAAATATAAACATGTCTCCAGCACGCACTGATTCCTTGATACCCCGTTCAACATAGTACAGCACGTCAGCGTGATTGCCTAAGATTCTAGCAATAGAGATCTGCTCAAGGCATAACCACCCCATTTGACATGGAGAACCAATCTCCCATAAGTGCTCCTAGAGTGCTCTACATGCATGATAATATAATGTTAATCGAAAACCAACCGACAATCACCACTAAAATGAATAACATAAATTGAGTACTAGTTGATTTACTTGATGCATATTTGAATGAGGGAAATGTTAAGCATAGCACCACTTAGAAATTCCTTCACATATTCTTAGAATAACATCCCCACTGTACTCTCCTTCTTCACCGTGCCAAATCCACACATGGTATTTAAGCCTAAACCCACGACAAACTACATGATCTCTAATGATATCAAAACTATTGACCACCTTCACATTATTACAATCAACACAAGGACAATAGAGGCAATCGAAACCCATTCTGCGCTGATAAGATGAAGCCCTCGCGCAAAACTCTTGAACCCCATTAAAGAATTCCAATGTATCACGTCTACCATACATCCAGCCACGATCCTTCTCCATTAAATAAATTGTCTCTAAACATGGAAACATATTACGAATCATGTATAATTGCTACCATCTATTATATATGTAAATCAAATTCATACACACAACATGCATATAACATTCATATAGATACAAAAATGCATATATGCTTCCAAAGGGCCCTTATCACTCCAACCTAACCCATCCTTGAACGTTTACTCTCACTAGTGAATGTATGTTGACTTTCCAATTTTAAGGAAAATCCAGCAGCATTTCCCCCCAGTTCTCCAAGTACATGACGTAGGTAATTACTTACCCACATATGTACCCAGAGAACATGGTGATCGAGGAAATGGTAAGCCAAGATGTTCCTTAAAATCGAAAAAAAGGACATACATTCACCGTCTAAGTGAGAGTAAACGTGCAAGAATAGTCCCAACCGGGGACTATTGAGAAAGTCTTGAACGGGTATCTAGGCATATGATGATGCAACCATTTCATATATTTATTGTTGTATTTATTTTGTCATGAAAAAACTTTTATTCAAACAATAAAGAGAAGGATATATACATAGCTTATTAAAGAAGTTTATAATTCATACCAATACAATGGATGTAATCTTTCTAACTTCCCACGCACTTGAGCTAAATATGTAGTCTTCAAGCTAAACTTGAACTTCAAATCACATATGAATCTATAAAAACGCAAAAAGAAAAAACAAAAGAATAAACAAAAGTTAGTAAGTATGAGAAATGGGTAATAAGAAGAGATTGGGGCATATGATTAAGGAATGAGAAAGAAAATGGGGCATTAAACTAACCATATCTTCTTCACATATATATTGAAATGTCAAATTTTTACAGGAGAAAATGGGGCATTAAACCAAACATACTCCATATTAATGTTTGGTTTTATAATCTTATCAATATTCCAATGCAAATACAATATAATTTATGAATCAAACTTGGAATCATATGTTCTACTCTGTGACAGGTCTGCTAAAGCAGCAACTCACAGCAACAACTACAGCAACTCACAGAAACATCCCCTCAAAACCATACCATCTCCACCCTTTGCAGCAACTAACAACAGCCACTACAGCAACTCACAGCAACTCACAACAACATCCCCTCAAAACCAGACCATCTCCACCCTTTGCAGCAACTCACAACAGCCACTACAGCCAAAACAGCAACTCACATCAACTTACAGCAGCAGCCACACATACAACAACACCAGCAGCAGCCCTAGAAGCCCCCAACAACCAGCAAGCAGCAGCCCCAAAACCCCCCAACCAGCATGCATATATATAAAATAAATGTCACACGTATAATGGTAAAACCCCGACTGTATTCTGTTCAGAACTCTCATTGCTCTTCCTATACTCACTCCCTTCATCCTCTTCCCCATCTACATTGTTAAATCTACTATTATTCTTCACATTAGACACCCTTCTCTACATTGAACCTCTCTCTTCTCTCAACTCTCCTCTCCCTTACATACCACATACACAACAATAAGTAACATGGCTCAAAAATCGAATTGAAATAAGAACTTACATTTACAAGCCAAGCCAAGTATATACAAGCTAAGTATATATACAAGCCAAGTAACATGGCTCAAAAATAGAATTGAAATAAGAACTTACACTAACGCCCAACATCTTACCAGAACAATGCAAACCAAAACACAAACAGCCAAAAATAAACAGTAGCCCAACACCTATACAACCTAGGCACAGCAAACGAATACACAAACAGCCAAGGGCAAATCCAGAAAGATGCATGCACAGTACCGGAAACTCGCGCCTTAACCAACTGTGAGAGCAAGAACGTAGTTGTGGAGGGGGGGCATTGCGCTTATATTGACAAACCCTAGATTACAAGAAACTTGTAATTACTAAATTGTAAAGCAAATCCACCAAAAACTCAAGAGTACGAAGGAATTGAACAATGGAGTAAGTAAAACCTAAAACAAAAACTTACCTTAATTAGCTTGAAGTTGTTTCAACGGAGGGATGCATATGGAGTACTACTTCAATGGAGGATGAGAAAGCTCACAGCCCTTCAATGGAACCTTCAATGGAAGCTTCAATGGAGGGAGAGTTTGGGAAGATGGAATGCGCGCGTTTGGAGATGAAAGAAGAAACAATTGAAAGAATTGAATTGAATGAAAATGAAGAAGAAAATAATAACGTTGCAAACCGGATTTTTTTTTTTTTAATTTGGCACTGGTTCAAACCGGTGCTAAATTCTAAGGTTGCCACCGGTTTAAGTTGAACCGGTGCCAAATCCTATGATTTATAATTATTATTATTTTTTTAGAGTTGGCACCGGTTTGAACCGGTGCCAATTAAAGAAGTTGGCACCAGTTTAGCTGTGAACCGGTGCAAACTAGGAAATTTCAATTCCCGCCCATATATGTTGGCACCGGTTTTCAAGAACCGGTGCCATAGGGGGGGGGGTGCCTATTTCAAAAATTCTACTAACATGTACCTTTTTAAGAGTCTCGCAATATTTTCCAAAATGTTTATCGAGCACGGCTTTTGACAACCTTTGCGGGAAGGGCATCGGTTCCTCATAGGCCGGTGGAGCAACATATTTGGGACTTTTTACATCCTCACACTTTTCATCTTTTTTTAACTCCACACTGCACAGTTTCTCATCTATTTTCCTCGAAAATAATTCATCTCTTCTCAAGAAAATTGCATTGCATTGTTCCTTTTGGACTTTTGCTTGATCATGAAGAGTTGATAAATGACTCACTTGTTGTGAAAGTTGAGAAAGGTGAGTTTCTATCCTCTTATTTTGATCAATAAACATTTGAATCGAGCTTTCAAAGTGTTCATTTTGCTTTTCTTGTAGCTCAAATTGCTTTGTCATAAGCTCTTGTTGTCGAAGTTGGGAAGTAGTGAAAGTCTCCATAATGGAATCAAGATTGTATTTTGAAGTTTGCGGTGGTAGTTGTTGATTCATGGGTTGGTGATTAAAAGATGCCCTTGCTTGAAAAATAGGTGGTGGTGACGGAGAATTCAATTGAGCTTGAGTGTTCATATAAGAGAAGTCCGGATGATTTCTCCACCCTTCATTGTATGTGTTTGAATGAGGATCATACGGCCTTTTAGGATTAGAGGTGTAGAATGCATTGGCCTCCTCAATTGACATCTCACTTGAATTTTTGGGGCAATTAGGTGCAATGTGACCCTGCACATTACACATCTGACAAGTCTCCGGTGAGCTAGTAGATGTTCCGGCTTGGAGTCTGTCAAACTTATTTGTCAATGCCTGCACAGAGCTAGTCAAAAGAGTTAGAGCATCAACATCTAATTTACCTCCCTTATTCACACTATGTCGACCTCCTGGATGATAATTATCATTGGTTGTCATCTTCTTAATTAGCTCCTTGGCTTCAGTTGGGTTCTTAGTCATGAGAGAACCCCCGGATGCAACATCAATGTATATGCGGAACTCATGGGTCAGACCATTGTAGAATGTTTGGATCAACATCCACTCTGGGATACCGTGATGAGGGCATTGTCTCGGTAAGCACTTGAATCTTCTCCATGCCTCATATAAAGACTCATCATCAGATTGACGAAAGATAGCTAGCTCATTCCTTAACCTTGCACTCTTTTCTTGCCCTAAAAATCTTACTAAGAAAGCTTTGGCAAGCTTATCCCATGTATTAAAGGAACCTATACCTTCGTCTCGTAACCATTCCTTCGCTTTATCCCGTAGTGAAAAAGGGAACAAACAAAGTCTGATAGCATCATCTGTAACACCATTCATTTTCATCGTATCACATTTCTCCAGAAAGCTATCAATATGACTTACAGGGAAATCATGCGGTGTGCCTGCAAATGAATCATTGGAGATGAATTGAATGAAGTGTGGTTTCAATTCAAAGTGCTGAGCAGTGACAGGCGGTCTGACAATGCTTGAGAGGAGTTCGGTTGTCGTATTGGGGATACCGTACTCCAAAAGAGATTTCGTGCCGTCTTCCATGTTTCTATTGTTTTGATTTCCCCTTCTTCTTCTACCTTTTCATCTCCTTATAGTCACTTCAATTTTAGAGTCAAAAAGTGCTAAATCGTCTGACCCTGAATGTCGAGTTTGCATGCAACAAAGAACTAAAAGAAAAGTACCAAAAACACAAGAAACAATAGCCGAAGCAGCGAATAAAGCTTAGGAAAAACGAATCACAATTAATCAGAAAGAAACCATTAGTCCCCGGCAACGGCGCCAAAATTTGATAGGCCTGTCGCGTACCTAAAAAAATTAACCTAACGAGACCACTACTATGTAGACGGGCAAGTAAGGATCGAAACCCAAGAGACTAAGATTCAAGTAATTAAATAGACTCAAATTATCACTACGCAAGTAACAATCAATGGTGAAATATTCTAAGAACTAATATATAAAGAACTCAATAAATCTAAAGAATGTGATAAATCAATGAACCAAAACATCCAAGATCAAGTATCACCACAATTACGATCGATGCAATTATCTATCTACCCCTAGCATACAAATCCAATTAACATGGGGAAAAGCAAACCCTAATCAATATCAAGGACCTCTCTCGAGTATCAATGGCTTCTCTATCCACAATCAAGCCTATTCTCATGGAATCATGCAAATTATAGACATTAAACACTTTACTTCGCTTCCCAATTATCAATTCAACGACTCTTGTGATGAATCTCAAACCCTAAATTGGTCTACTCAAATCTGTTAAAACCCAACTCTCGTTGTGATTAAAACTATGGAATAATAACAATACTAATTATCTCTAATCTAGGATTGGCATAATCACAACCAATTTATCATAAACAATCGCAATTGTCATTAAAGAATTTAACGAATCAATTCATGCATCCATCACAATTGGGCAACCCTAGATCTTGGAATATAAAAATTACTCACACATATTGAAATAAGCAATAGAAAAAATAATCAAAGAAAACATAATTAAGAAATAAGGGATGAAAGGAAAATACCAAATCTTGAAATAAATGGAGATTGCAAAAGTAGAACTTGAATCTTGAATTACAAAAGCAACGTAAAAGTTTTAGAGAAAAAGTAGGTCTAATAAGGAATGCTAGATCAATTCAGCGCATAACCCTCCTAAGAGGCACGGACGTGCCTCACTTCGAGTAAGGTTCTTCTCATCTTCTGGACTCCAGGAACGGACGTGCCTATATTGGGCACGGACGTGCCTATATTGGGCACGGACGTGCCTCATATGCATATTCGAAGGCAGCAGGAGAGACACGGGCGTGCCTCTATGAGACGCGGACGTGTCTCACTTCTAGAGAATTTGCCTCGGTTTCTGAGGCTCAGGCACGGACGTGCCTAAGCTGGGCATGGGCGTGCCTCTCTTAAACATGGTCGTGCTTGAATCCAAAAAGGCCTAAGTGACTCGTTCTTTGACCAACGAGCTTTGTGAAGGTCCGTGGGCCTCGGTTTCGTCCCATGACTTCATAAAATCTCTAAAATAGCTTCGTTAATCCTGAAATACATCAAAAACAACGAAACTACCCATAAAAGCATCGAATCATCGAAACTAAACTAAATCAAACCAAAATGAACTAAAATACTAAGCTTGACTAAAAGAACAACTAAAAAGAGGCTAACAATTACGCACAAAACACGGCTTATCATTTCTCTTCCACGTAGTGTTGGACGCTACGAAACCCAACAGCGGTATCGGAGCCGCGCTCATTTTAATTATTGTAACCAATAATTAATTGAGGTGATTTGAAATGGATTTAAATTTCTGGTTTTGTTTTCTAATTAGATTAGAAACTCGTTTTTAATTAGTTTTAATCTCGTATTTTACTAATTTTGGCTCATGAACTCAGATTTCGACTCAAAAATAGTGATTTTAGGGTGGAATTGATGTTCTAAACGTTTTTAAACCTTATAGGGAAATGTCCAGAAGCCAAGATCCACCCGGAAACATGTTTTTTGAGGGGTTTTTCGTTTTTGACGAAAAATTTTAAATCTTTAAACCTTGATTAATTATGGCATGTTAAAGGTAGATTAAATGTAAGGTTGCATCACTAATCTACTGCAATTATAAACCTTATTAAGCATGTTTATGAAGTCATAATTGGTGCTTAATTTGGTGAATTCATTTTTCACATAAACTTGAAATTTTCACATTTTGCAAATAAATTGATTCAAGTGTGAATGTTTATGGTGAACTTGTAATTTTGAAGTCCCTAATATGTTAAAGATCCAATCTTTAATTGTTTATTTGGTTGGAACTTTGATTGCTAAATTCCATCTTGAACTAATTTTTGAATCTAATCATTTTTTAGTTGATTAAAGTCCTAAAAGTTCAAAACTTGTGATTGAAATTTAATTAATCTTCATATTGGAAGATGTAATTTTTCGATTATACACAAGTTAGTGTTGGAAATTTTTCATTAGATGAATGGGTTTATTTTTCCAACATCTTTAATTTTGTCAAATCTCATTATTAATTTGTGTATGGTTAAATTAATTATGAGTATAGCCCTTCAATTTTGTAGCATCAAGATGAACCTAAATTGATTTAATGAATGGTTCTTGAATAATTTAGGCTTGTGCACTACTAAAGTTGAATTTAATTAAGTTGGACTTGTTTTATTTTCATTTTTCTCTAAATTAGTTCTTAAATAAATTAAGAATTAATTTTTTATCACACATAAATCGGGAATTAAAATAAGGCAAGTGCACGTAAATCGAGGTAAAATCGCCCAAAACACTCCCTTAGGCTACCCGGGCTGCTCAAGCAACCCACATGTGGCTGCCAAGGTGCATGGTGGGGTTGCCTTGCCTCGTAGATACGCTAGTGTATGGTGTGTGTGTGAGTGTAATGCACACTTGGTGATATGGGTTGTGCGAGAGTGATGCGTGTGTTGTGTGGCTACTAGAAGGTGCCCGCAAGTGCTGCTAGGCAGCAAGGCATGCGAGCCCCAGCAAGCCCAACCACACGCTGCCAACGCCAGCATGCGCAGCATGATGTGATGCTGCTGGTGCCAGCAAGTGTATCGTACTCTGCTAGGCAGGCATGCCAGTACGCACAGCCTCGGCCCTAGGTGCCTAGAAAGCCTAGCCCAGTGGCTTTAATGCTAGGCACTTGGGAATGTTGTGGGCTATTGTTTTGTGTAATTGGGCCGTTTTAAATTATTTATTTAATTATTTTAACGAGGCTAGGCCTCGGTTCCTCCGGCACTTGCAAAATAATTTGGCAAAATATGGGCTAACCGGCTTAATTAATTGGATTAATTGAGTTGGATGCGGAATTTAGTGGGATCTTCGTTAATTACTTGAACTTATTGTGTTTTAATCACATAATTGATAAACAACTTTGACTAGTTTTAATTAGGCGTGTTAATTGGATTACCACCTAAATTAGTTACTAGTTTCCGCGTGTTATGCATTGTTACTTGTTTTTCGTTGTAAAATGCATAGGCCATTCACATATAGTGAATGGATGAATGGAATGTATATTGTTTTACAGATTTTGTAAAAATGGCAACTAGTAGGACCCGACTAGGGTAGTAAATACGGATTGCGATCCGTTATGTATTTTGTATATTGTTATGCGTACCGTTGCGTATTTTTGTACCTTAATATTTAGATTAATCCTAGTTATAGTAGCTAGTAGTTGCATATTTGGTGGAGATGTCTCGAAGACGACATTTCTAAGAAGACAAGCCAAGAAGTTGCATCAAAGACCTGTGGAGATTTGAAGACTCAAGGGGTCATGCTAGTTGTCAAATGCATCTTTTACTTATGTTCTATATATATATATATATATATATATATATATATATATATATATATATATATATATATATATATATATATATATATATATATATATATATATATATATATATATATAATTGTGTTTATATATGATTTAATGGTATGATAGATGCATGTTTAGGATTTCAAATGTTGCGATGATTAATTAAGTTCACTTAAATCAACCAACATAGAAACCTAGGTCCCTATAATATTAAGCCAAACTTGCCATTCCAAGAATGACACTTATCGAACTAATGCGCGTAGTGATGGGCTACGCTAAAGCGAGGCATCACCGCTTCCCTAGGAACGTAAGGTATACTAGGTATACAAGTTGTCTTGGTTAAGCTCAACGATATCAGTAAGGAGTCCTTAGATGTCGTGGCAATGGAGATAAAATGTCATGGAAGCATTAGATGCGACGTTTTATCGAACCAAGAGTACCTTAGAGCTATTAGCAATTGGATTGCTTGCCTTAAAATATTAAGTGTTGAGACAAGCTAAATCATGCTTAATCACTTTTTGATTTTTGGGATCTTGGAATCGTTTTATTCTCGCCTAAAAGTGACAAAATTTAATGCGTGGATAAGAAGCGTAATAAGATTGAAAGTTTGCATGTATGCTTTGAATTTTAAACTTATTATGTTATGAACTTGATAAATGGTTATACTTTGCACTTATATTTGTAGAATTCTAAATCAAATTATATTTTTTACAATGATTGGTAAAGGAAATCTTTTGAGAATGGTTCTCAAGGAAAGAAAAGGCATTTCTAAAATACAACTTCTCATAATTGACTTTTATAACTAAAGTCTCAAAGGACGGTTGGATATCATGTATTCAAAATACTAGGTAGTTTTGATGAACATGAAATATTGATTTGAAAACTTAAATTGTCAATAGTTGATAACCAACATACCTTTTTGCTTCATACACTAATGAGTAGGACTCATTAATGTAGTAATTCAAGTACGAATTGAAGGAAAAGATGGAACTTCGTTTCACGGCGCATTAGATGCTTAATTATGCCTAACAATGTGTAAAATTCAAAGCACTTAAAGAAATAATTCTTAAAGTTATGAGATGATGTATGATAAGAAATATAGGAAACAAGGAACAAAGGAAAGGAATAAGATTCCTTTTCTACCCATGTTCATGTTATCTTCGTAAGTATTAAATACTGCTTGAGTGTTCCACTTTAA